TGTCAATAGTGCAGGATTGAAACAGAAAAAAAATTACATAAAATTTCGATGTACCTAAAATTTCCCTCCCCCCGCACTAAATGCCCCTATTTCGAGCCCTTGCTGCCCGCTACTTCCTTTGTGACGTCACGAGGGGCCGTTTTCACCCAGCCAAGATCCTGGCCCCTTCAGGTGACCGGTGACCGCTCTAAAGCACGACGAGCACTCGTGACGTCACGATCATATTCTGCGGTCCCTCGTTATTCAGTCCAATGAGAAATCTTATTCTTTAGAAAACGCGTGCGAGGAGCGCGATGTCGGCTTTCTATTGGTGGAATAAGTTGCGGGCGTGCTAAAGCAAGCTGCAGCCTTCTTTCTCCCCCCGAATTCTGCCAAGCTTCATTCTCTATCTTGCTGTCATCATACCTACACACACACACTCACACACAAATAAACAGGTAATAGAAACTTTAATTTTAATAAAATTGTATAATCTCGTAAATATCTCATTCGGAAATATGATTTCTAGCTCAGTTAAGGCTATAATTTAACTCGCTGAAGTTACAATTATGACAGTTTTAAGACTGAAATTATCTCAATTACCACCCCTCAAATTGTCAGCTGTTTTTTTGTACTTTGAGCCGGCCGGTGAAAACAGGAAATCCATTTTTCATTACAAGCTCGTGCGCATTGAGTTGGGGGCGGGGGAACTGAATCTCAAGTTCGAATGATTTTTTAGTTGTAAAGTGAGGGTGGGGGTGGGGGGTCCAAAAATCGTTCACTAGGAAATTACCCTAAAATATGCTTAGAAACTTAACCTTTAGTTGTGATGAATTAATTTGAATAAAACTTGAGAAATTCTTTCTATAATGATGTTAAACATTTACTTTAATTATCATAACATATGCAGCGCCTGACAGCTATGATTTGAAACACCCCCCCCCCCTGTTTTTACTTTTTTTTCCAGCAATTATTACTTAGCGTTAGGTTAAGACTATTGGGTCTGTCCTAGAAAACGAATTTTGGACCCACCCCACCTCTCAGTTTCTGGACTGAGCACTGCGGTTATGACAGGCTAGGGGGACCGGGCGTTGCGCCCACATGACCAATTATATCCATGTTACAGAGATCCATTACAAAACGGGGTAGGGGGGGGGGGCGCCAAAAATCGTTTTTAATGGAATTCACAAATCTTTTATAAACTTCAAGGCAGAATTATCAGATAATCAGCCTACATTATTTTAACACTTGTTTTGTTTTAGACATGGGTGACGAGACTGAGTATATCAAACTGAAGGTTGTCGGCCAGGACTCCAATGAAATTCACTTCAGGGTTAAGCAGACCACTCAGATGGGTAAACTCAAGAAGTCTTACAGTGAAAGAGTTGGTGTCCCAGTCAGCTCTCTCCGCTTCCTGTTTGATGGCCGCCGAATCAACGACGACGAAACCCCTAAGGCTTTGGAGATGGAACAGGACGATGTCATCGAAGTTTACCAGGAACAGACTGGTGGTGTGAGTGGAGTATGTCTGCTGGGCTCTCTACATGAGTTGTAAGGAAAATGTGGGATATGACGAGTTCAAATTTAAACGCTGTACGTGTAAAAAAGTATAAAAATATAGCATTTCTCTGTAGCTTTTGTATTTATACTTTATCTAATGCATTATTAGTCCAGATAAACTCGTTATCTGAGGTTTAGACTTTATATAAACATTTAATGGCAGACACTTTTTAACACTTATTATTGAAATTTGAGCCAACACGATTAAGGAGATTAAGGACCCTAGCCTTGTTAAATTATTAAATTTCTCTTGAGGGGGGGGGGGGTTAAAATGTTTAATTTGAGATAGGAAGGCTAACTTTTTTGACTATATTTATGGTGATGAGGAAACCTTGGGTCGACTGATGTAGGTACACCAACATTATTGTTTTGTATCAATTCTGCGTATCGTCTTCTGGATTATGAAGAGGTAGCTATATAAAGAGAGTTTAGCACACTAAATAAGACTAAAGTGTCTTATGCCCCTAAGTGAACATAAATGTTTAAATTTAAAGACTTAATTTAAAAATTATTTACAGTGAGACCCATTAAACTGTGAAATAGGAACGACTGTAGGATTTAAGTTATCCTAGTTTAATAATTGTGCAGAGTACACAGCTACCCATTTAGCCTAATAAAGCTACTTGAACTATCCAAAAAGATTGTTTAAATTTCGTCTTCATATTTATTAGGTTAGATTTGGAGGATGTACACGAAGAATCTAAAGGAACGAAAGGAAAATAAAATTGGCAATCGTAAGAAAATGTATCTGGGATTTGCATGTTCTTAATATCATTAAAGTTTAATGCCTTTAAAAATGTTAACCTTTTTTTACGTGTGTTTTACGATATTCCTGGTGTAGAATTTCGCAAATAATTCTAAGTTTATAAACTTCCATCTTTTTAGTTAACTATAGTGAAACCATAGATTTTATCTGGGTGGTTCCATGGGGGAAAATTGCCGAATAGTTTGCTATCTATTTTCTATCACAAAGGTTAGCCATTACGGAGGCTGAAGAGATTTAAGTTTTACCTAAATACAGTTGACATTCTTATGGAGTTTGAAGAGGTGGTGTATTTTTCGACCTACGCATATCCGCCATACTCCATTTCTGACCTACGCCAAATCCGCTATACTTCACATCTGATCTACTAGCACGTGGTATTACAGCTGCGATATGGACTTGTGGCCGCAGCGCTCGGCCGCCTAACCTGTCCTAGCTGAAGCGCTCGGCCCCCAGAAATTGTCTTAACCTATCCTAACCTAACCCTCAAATGATACTAAATTAAACAGCTGGCGTAGGTCCGATATTGCAGTAGGTCGGAAAGTTAGTAGGTTAGAAGTTCAGTAGGGAGGATGTTACGTAGACGATGTAACATTACCGTTTGAAGATTCCAACGATTCCAACATGATAATCATTGCAATACTTGGGCAGATGCTGAACTCCAACCTTCCAGTGTGCGAAGTGGGGAAGACTTCACTCCAGATTTTTCTTTTGTACATGACCACTTTTTCAACAATTTTCAATTAAATTAGTATTTATTTAGGGTTAGGTTAGGCTAAGACACTTTCTGGGCCGAGCGCTGCGACTAGAACAGACCAAGGATGTAATGCAAGGATTGTTATTTTAGAAGTGTGCGCATCTTTAGTATTGCTGTGTACTGACACTGGGCAGAAATGTAAACTCAAGACGGATGTCGAAGCCTGACATGGGATCCATCTTTCACTTAAAAAAATCAATGTTATGTTTCGTTTCGTTTGATTTGCATAAAGCCATAGATAAAACATTTTCATTTTTGGAGGTCATTTAGGTCATTAGAGGTCGTTAGAGGTCATTAGAAGGTCAAACACTGTATTTGTTGCTGCTACTGTATTCCTGGGGTTTCTAGCTTTCGTTTGATATGTATAAAGCCATAGTTGAAATATTTTCTATTTGTGGAGGTCATTAGAGGTCATTAAAATTCAATTTTATTTTATTTTAGGAATTTCGAACCCTAATTAGACGTGCAGCCAAAAAATTGGAAGATTTGAACAAAAAATGAATGCGGCCCCCCCCTACATCAAATGTGCCAACTCCACCATCCCCTTTTTAGACATAGTGGCATGAGTGGCATGAGAGGCTTCTCAAAGATGAGAAGTATTTATTAATTATCATAAAAAGTGCCTAATGATTAATAAATTGGTATCTAAAACAATTTAAACAATTTTCACACAAAAAAGGAAAATATTTAGAAAAAAAATTTGAATTGAAATTCGTTTCATTTTGATTTTAGCGATACCTTTTTTTGAAGTTCAAATTAAATCTAAAAAATTTGTATTTATTATTTAAATCCTAATAGTTTTCAAAGAAAGGTATTGATCAAATCAAAGATTACAACAAAACAAACCATGAGTTAAATCCAGAAATATTTCTCCAAGTATCTTCCTTTTTGCGTATAAGAAATGCTTAAAGTTTTAATATAAATCTTATAAACCTGCACTTTATGAGTTCATATATGTATCTAATCATGACAATCAATGAACAGCTTTAATCTTTAGTAAAATTCTTAATATTCCCTAACCAATAAATGGGTGCGGTGGCCGTGAATGAGATGGATGTTTGCATCTGCAATATTATTGATGATGAAGATTTTAATAAAAAGCCTAATCCTATTGCTTGTCTTTTGAAGACGACATCTCCATTGAAGAGAGGACTCATAAAACAAAAACAAGTGTAAATTTGTTATTGATTAAATATGGCCGACTTTCATTCATCCAATCAACAAATGTCAAACCGGTGACCAGTGACTGTTAGTTATTGTTTATTTGTCTAACTTGTTGTTTTTAATATTTTGAAATGAAAGGCCTCAATTTTTCAATGTTGGCCTGGTTGATAAAACATTATATTACAATTATCACCAAAATATAGAAGATGATCTCGTGTTGCTAATATTATATTACTAATATGAAATTACGCAAATTCATGAATTTGGGTGCTTTTGTAAGGTCTGGCGGAGATCAGTTTGTGTATTTTTTTTTCATAATTCTTTGTTTTGAGGGTCTAGGGGATCTAGGGAGACGTAAGCCACAATTTTGTTAACATTAAAGTGGGTGATTTCCCTAAATGATTATTTTCGACAAAAGGTGATCATAAAGTATATTTTCAACTACGATGTAATTAAACATGTATTCCCTTTTAACCAGCCTTTTGTTTTATTTTTGGCGAGTTATTGGATTTCAAAAGGAAGTGGGGGGGGGGGGGTTTAAACAGGGTTAAATTATTTTAAAATGCCCCCCCCCCCCCCCCCCCCCCCTGTAGGGGGGGGGGGGGGGGGGCGTGCACTTCTTATCTCCAACCTTTGTACGACAGTCGATAGTCTACATGTGATAAACGTTTATTTGTATTTTTTCCCGATTCACCATGCATTGCATGAATTGCATTCATGGCCTTGGCTATTTAAGATTTGTCGAATTCTTTGATTCTCGACTTTAATCCTTTCATGACTCTCATAATTATATAAATCTATTCCATCAGATTTAACAATGATGTAAGCTGTGCCGGGAAGGATGGGGGACGTGTATAACTCTATTGTGTATCCACCAAAATCTAAAGGTTCAACGATGCAAAGCAAAACTGAGATTAAGTCTTTGATTGCCAAATATGAATTTTTTATTGCGGAATGTTTAATTAGGACTCAGACGTATGGAGGTTTAAATAAATAGATGTTATTGCTAAAAATTGCCTTACAGAAAATATAATGATTTCTTAATTGTTTCTACGCAAATTTTAATGAATACTAATTTTTATCTGTCAACCACTCAAGTATATCCCCCCTTTTAACCCAACTGCAATCTCTGATAGCTTATTTAAAACAGCTTTAAGCAATCTATGGCGGCGGTCTGGGGTCCACATTGGGGCCTCTTACAGATTCCACTTCTCTATGATTCTTTATGAGCTTTCCTTTGCATTTGTTTTACATATATTTATTATAATCATGTTTTTCAATTGCACTTTCAATTTGATTTGAACTTAGATTGTATTTTTATTTTCTAATTGTTAAGATCGTCCTGGTAGTGTTCTAACTGTAGAAGAGGAGGCTGCAACTAGAAAGTTTCTTGAAAACGTAAACAAATGGAGGATAGCAAACAGCATGGTGGAGGTTAGAATTATTGTCAGTGCTTTGGTTCCTTATCGTTTAGATACGGGTCAGGATTAAGACTTACTGATTTTTTAAATAGAAGAAGAATTTTCAAATTATTTTTCTTCTCTTTTTACTAAAACTTGATGATCCATTTAATATTCTCTTATTCTATAACAGTTCAGATTTGTGTTTGGTGAGTTTTTTTCTGCTTTTGATGGTTTGTTTTACCCCCTGGATCCGGATCCGGATCCAGGGACCCAAATTGTTGCGGATAAAAGGATCCGTATCCTAAACATGCATTTATTTGTATTCAACAGATTTCATAACTTTTTACAGTTTCTCATATATCTGCAAAGCAATTTTTGTGTTGGTTGACATTTAGATTTTCTAAAAGAAAATTTGTCATTTACAAGACGTTTTTAAACGAAATTCACTATAATGAACGAAAGAAATTCGCTAAATTCAAAGTATTTTCGACCTCATTTTCGCGAAATTTTCGTTTAATTTTCGTTCGTTAAAAATCGAAATTTTTCAATTTCGCACCAAGAAAATTGTATTTTTTTTCGAAAAAATAAGATTTTGAACGAATGGTCGAAAATTTTAACGAATTTCGCGAAAATTTTGAACGAATGTCGCGAAAATTTCGAACGAATTTCGCGAAATAATTTCAACGAAAATTTTCGCGTAAAAGAACAAAAAAAATTCGTTTTCGTTCACATTTTCGTTGGCTGAAAGAGATTTTTGCAAAAAGTTTGACGAAAATTTCGAAACCCTAATCCTAATCAGGTATGAACCAGTCCTGACTCTTGGGGCCATGTTAGGTTCCACTCAAAAGTTTCCACTAGCCGGTTCAGCAGTTTCAATCTTTATTGGTGGACAACATGATGAGTAAACAATGCAGTTATATTTATAGATATTTATTTAAATATAATATCTGGGTGAGGGGGGTGGGGGCTGATATAAATGATTTTTAATACGTTTAATGGCACAGTATAAAGTAGAAGAAGATGTTTCCTTCGTGATGTCCGAAAATGGATACAGAGCTAGGAACTCATTTATTGTGGATATCGAGATCAATGCTTATCTCATCTTTTGTTCATCGGTCTGCAGATTAATTAGTTCTTTATTCGATGTCCTGCAGAATAATTTTACCATGAAAAAAAGAGATTAAACATTGATTCTCAAATTTAAAGCCCACAGTGGATTTGAGATCAAGCGCTCGGGGTATTCAGCACAAAAGTTCCCAGCGCAGATCAAAGATAAATAATAAATAACTAAAATAATTTTGAGTGACATAGAAGATCAATGGAAAATCGTAAAGAAGATCAATGGAAAATCGTAAATTATTTAGAGAAAGTCATGAGGATTAAATAATGATTGAATCACATTTTTTTTGTAATGGTCTAATGATATCTTTACTTTATAGTTGCCCTGGGCATCTGCTGTCAAGTTCTTGATGGCTCGGAAGTTCAACGTTGAGCGAGCGCTTATGCTCTACCAGCAGCACGAGATCATGAGAATAAGGCAAGGCAATTGTTATTCCCTCAGACCACCAGCAATACTTTCTTTTCTCACTCTTCCTACAGTTGGCTTTTACTTTTTTTACACAGTTTGGTCTTTGTCATAAAATCTTTTCTTTTTTTTACCCTTTCTACAAAAGGTTCCCTTCCCAATTCAGTTTTATTTTCAATTTATTTTTTCCATTATTTTTTTATATTTGTCTGTGAATTTCCTTTTCCTCCAGGAATACGAGTTTTCTCAATACTCCGCTGCCCAGGTTTCGTGCGTCAGTTCATCTCCCCATTTGTTTTAACCATTTCAACAGAAAGTTAGACATCTAAAGCAATATTTTGTTACCATTTTTATTAATGTATTTTGATTCAAAAAACGCACAAAAAAATATTAATTGCTTTATAATTTGAAAGATAGACGACATTTATCTTAGAGAGGAAATAACTGTCTTTGCGTTTTCCTCCTTCAATAATACAATTTAGAACTAAATGGGCATTTAAATAGGCTAATTAATAACTTTTAATGTTTTGTTATTGCTCTAAATGTGTTGAAACATGTTTAAATTTGTTATGTTGTATTCAGGGAAGGATTAAAATACTTTGACTCCAGTTCTGAGCCTCTAAGGAAGGAATTAGCTCAGGGAAAATTTACAATTCTGCCTTCTAAGGTTATTATTATTATTTATTTGAAGAATTCAATATACGTGTTTTATCTGAAATCAATTGAATTTCTGTTTGTGTTTTGTCAGGACCCTAATGGCGCTACCTTGGCTCTCTTTAACCTTTTTCTTCACGAACCTGGTCAAGTGTCCCATCAAACTGTACTACAGTGTGTAGTTTACCAGGTATAGTACCATTTAGTCCCATCAAACTGTACTACAGTGTGTAGTCTACCAGGTATAGTACCATTTAGTCTCATCAAACTGTACTACAGTGTGTAGTCTACCAGGTATAGATGCATGTACTATAGTGTGTAGTTTATGAGGCATAGTCCCATTTAGTCCCATCAAACTGTACTACAGTGTGTAGTCTACCAGGTCCAGTCTTATATAGTCCTATCAAACTGTACTACAGTATGTAGTTTTCCTGGTTTAGTCACATTAAGTCCCATCAAACTGTACTACAGTGTGTAGTTTACCAGATATAGACCCATTTAGTCCTATCAAACTGAACTACAGTGTGTAGTTTACCAGGTAAAGACCCATTTAGTCCCATAAAACTGTTCTTCAGTGTGTAGTTTGCCAGGTATAGACCCATTTAGTCCCATCTAACTGTATTACAGTGTGTAGTCTACCAGGTTTAGTCACATAAAGTCCCATCAAACTGTACTAAAGTGTGTAGTCAGTCTACCAGGTATAGTAGTCCCATTTAGTCCCATCAGACTGTACTACAATGTGTAGTCTGCTAGGTATAGTCCCATTTTTCAATTAGTTAAATCAAACTGTTCTTCCCGTTTTATGTTTATCTCTCATTTTAGCAAATAATTAGACACTGATCATTAAAGCTAGATATCTTCAGAGTTATATTTATGATTAATGATTAATTTTTCAATATTTCAGCTTGACATAGCTTTAGAAGAGATTGAAACCCAGCGGAATGGATTGGTTTTCATCTACAACATGTCAAACTCAAAATACTCAAACTTTGATTACGATCTGTCTCAGAAAATGTTAACACTGTTAAAGGGTAAATATTTTTTATTCCATTGGTTGATTGCTAAATCTATCAACTGCCAAAATTTTGAAATTTCTCTGATTCTGATTGGCTGTTAGTTTTTTTCAATCGACACCTGATTGGTTGCAGTTTAGACAATTTACCGGAAATTAACGTAAGATAAAATTAGGCTTCAGATTAATATAAAGAGGGGATAAAGCATTGATCTCGATATCCACAATTCTAAAGTTGTCAGCTCAGGATCAACTGGAAAAAGTAGGATTTGACAGAAGGAGGAGGGGGGGAGGGAAGACTTGGCCATGAAATGGGTTTTAGTAAAATGCAGGATTAAAATTAAAGGGGATTGGAAATGTTTTTGCGTAACTCACTGTTCCAATGAAAAGAATTATTGGTAAAGAGTACAACTGAATCTATATTTAGGCTGTTATCCCGCGAGGTTGAAAAAGGTTCTTATTGTTACAGCACCACTTTGGTTTAAAGCTCCTTTTAAGGTATATCTTTAATTAGTTATTGTTTTTATCTTTTTGTCATTATTTTTAATCATTTAAGAAATTTTTTTCCCACACAAATTGTGGAATAATTTAAGCCAATTTTCAAATCCTGATTTACCGTTCGCAGAAAGCTCTTACTAAAATTCTACAATGTTTATTCTTAGATCTTATTCATTTTAGTCCCGCATCCTCATCGAAAAGCATTGCAATTGATTATTTTTCTTTATTCAGATTAATTTTGAATACGCCTACGTAGGTTTTTTTTGTTCTAGCTCTGAAAAACGATTCCTTTTTTATACAGGGTTTCCCACTCCCACATTATATTAGACCGTTTTCTGATTTAAGAGTCTAATGAGAAAAAAAAAGAAAAATCACTTAATAAAATGTATATGGCGAATATAAAAAAATCATTAAAAAAATACCAGGTTTTTCGAGTATTATGTTAGTATTTTGAAGTTTAAGCTTGGAGATAATCCAATATGATATGTGACGCCCTGTAGCTGGGGGGGGGGGGGCTATTTCGGACCTCCTCTACTTGGAATTGTTGCTAATGTTAACCCTGTTATCAAGGTACTAAGATTGTTTGTGAGGGAGAAACTACGAGACCGGGTCTTTACTGTTAATCTTACACAGGTATAATCAATTAATCAATCGTTACCTTTTTCATTAAATCAATTATTCAATCAACAAAACAATATTTTATGATCATTAAATCAAGGACAATTTTATTTCACAATATTTTTAAAACTTAAGACGAGTTAGAATAACGTTAAATATCTCTTGAATTTTAGCTGTTGCTTCATGTTGAACCAAGCTCTCTGCCCAGCGAACTCGGTGGGTCACTAAACTATAGCCATCAAACATGGATGAAAGCCTGTCAAACAATTGCCGAGGAAAAGGTGAATGTTTGATCAAATCTAATACATCTAAACATTTCTACCGATTTGTTGTTTGCCTAAGGTGTGAAACCGTGTCAAGTGACGCATTAAAATATTATGTTTGCGTAGGGAGGGGAACTGTTAACCATGACGCACTCTACAACTCAATCTAGATCCCCGGCTGCCAGCAGTTCACCTATTCATTTACCGGTAAACACATCTTCAGTGGAGTATTCTAAACCAGGGGGGGGGGAGAGGTTATTTTATATATTTTTCACTTAGATTTTTTATTTGTAATCGTCCAGGGACTGACTATTCAATTTGAGCTAGGTTGCTAAACTACCTACCGTCGATTTGAATATTTATCAGTGTATACTTATCATCTATGGGCCATGGACAAATCTTGAAATACCGATGTAAGATACGTGCAGACTGCAGGGGTGTATATTTTTTAGAAAAATCATCCCCCCTTTAGAAAATCATTCCCCTCCCCACAGGTTATGTATTTATTCGTTATACGGGGTGATGTTTAGGGGAAATCAAATTAATTTTGGGTTAAAAGTTGCAAAAAGAATGAAATAAAGGTTGGGGCTTTTATATCCTGTTTCTGATATTGCTGATCTAATTAAATTTGATTTGATATTAATATTTGTCTAGGAACAGGAATTGCTGGGTATATCAAACGGACTTGAAGAAACCTTGAGGTAGGTTTATTGTCAATTGGAAGCTTTCATTGCTGAAGTATTTTAATTCTAAAGTTTATGAATATTATACAAATTTCTAAATTTTAAAGAGTTTCTTATTTAAAAACAAATAATGAATGTCGATTGTCGGATATATGTCTATGATTAAAAGGTTCTCTGAAGAATAATATTAGATTTTAGGTTCATTACATTATTTACATCCTACCTCATTCTTATTTAGTCTAAAAACCCTATTTTTAAATTTTGTTACTAGATTTAGTGAAATTATATTAAAATTAAATTATTGGTTTAAGTCGTAAAATCTCATTCAAACTTGGATGTTTGACAAAGACGTTAATTTTAACTGATTTACTTAATATATGATTGAATTCCATATTTTATATCTATTATTACATTTATTTCATAATTTCTCAACAAGACAACCCTAAAAAAAACACCTGCATTTTATTTACATTTTATCATATCGAATCTTATAGAATAAACACTAAACAGTTTACTTTAGTTCATTCACAACTCATAGCTTTTAGTTTTGCATTTAAATCAGAAATTAAAAAATTATTTTACTTTTTGCAATCTTTTTGTGGATAAGTTAAATTCTTTTAAATACTATGTGAAGAAAGAAGTGAAGAATCAAATAATGCGCTAGTGAAAATACAAAATCCACGAAAACATTTTTTATTCGAATAAAATGAACCAGCAAAATGGGATGTGTTCTAAAATCATCAAACAAGTATAGATTTTTGATTAAATGACTTAAAATCATCGAACAAGTATAGATTTCTTGATTTAAAAACGTTAATAATTGATTAAACTTGTGTTTTGCTGTTGTCAGATTTGATTATGTTATGTATTCTTTAAGGTTTGATGAGGATTGTGAAGATGATATAACTGAACCTATTGCATCCTGTACTAGTGTTAGTTCTCAGGTAAGATACATTTTGAAAGCTAATCCTTTTCAACATTTATTATTGGTAAAATAATCACGGTTCTCTTAACTCAGGTTAATGGGAAACTCTCCGAACACGTGGATGCTGTAAGCCTTGTAGACAAAATTACAGGTATTTAATTAATTTGATTAAGAGCTGGGTGGGGTGGCTAGTTGTGACACCAGTTCTCGTTTGATCACTTAAGTTAAGCATACTTGTCCGCAGCCAGTAACTGGATTGGTATCTAGACTGGTGTTCACGGGTTTGATTCCCGTACTCCTCACAAACCTGTGGTTTCAAAATCATCCGTAGCCAACATCTGGTTAAGCATTTATGACCACCTGACGGATGTAGGAGACAGAGGGGCGGCTGTCAACATCTCTTACAGCTTAAGGGTGCGTGCTTTCTACTCAACAAGAAAGAAGCTTGAAATGGGTTGATCCAAGTGAATGATAATGAAGAGAGGAAAGGTTGACAAGCAGGGAGAGTCTATGGTTGCCAGCTATAGGAACCTGGGGGTATCCAATCCGGACTTACAAATGATTTGGAGCAATGAGTGTGATGTTTACTATCTGTAAGGCACCCGGGCCTCATTCCAGTATATCAGAAGAATTCCTGCACTCTTCTATTCTCAGGCCTAAGAATCCCTTAGTCAGCTGGAATCTTGTCAGCCCTCTTCTCAGAATAAATGAAGCGTGGACGGATGAATGCGCTGCCAGATTACAACCCATGGCAGATCAATACAAAACCCCTACAACACCAAACTTTCGCAATAGGAAAATTCCGAGTTTCATTCATAACAAACCGATCATGTCATGGGGACAAAAACATCTCTTAAAAATAGTTAGTTTGATTTCCACATGCCGTTTTAAAGGTTCCAGGAAAAATGTTTACGATTGATTTCCTTTTTGTTTTCTGTCATATTGGTTTGGCCCACACCCCCGCAATTATAAAGATTGTTGCCAGCTAAATATTTTTAATATTCTAGACGTACCTGTAAGCATAGAATGTATGGTAGGAGAGGAGTCCCCGGCTAGCCTGGATGTTTTTGATTCTGTTATTGGTAATATTTCCATTTATTTCTTCCCAGCTGTACATTACAAATAACACAATATGTCGAAATTAAATTGAAAGGTCTGGAGTGTGCAGTATGCATGTACCGTACACTTATTCTCTTAAATATATGTTTACCCGTCCGCCGGCCAATTGTCTAGGGTTAACACAATCATTAATACTGTACACTCTTATAACTTTTAACTTCCTCTAACTGGCAGGTTGAGTGTATTAACCCTAGACATTTAACCCTTTATGCACGCACAAGTAAAAGAACAAGTTGGTTCAATTCTTTATTAACATCAACGTGGTGAAACTGAAACAAAAACACAAAGTTAGTTTATTTATATAAAATGTTTAGAGTAAAATATCAGTTATCAGGTAGAAAGATAAAACATTTGTCTCATTTATAAAAAAGTATTTTAATTTCTTTATGAAAAGGCTTTTAACTTGAAATATTGAAGTTTGTTTGATAGAGATCATTTGCAGACTGATTGATAGATAATTTGCAGACTGATTGATAGATAACAACTAGTTGATTGATGGACTCAGAGAAGATTGTTCAGATTGATTGAAGGGTTCAGCAAAGAGATTGTCAGCTTGATTGATTGATACAGAGGAGTGAAGCAAGTTACTACTAGATTATTAACAAAAGATCACAATTGTTTGAGGTTCGGCTTGATTCCAGGTTCAGGTAGAGTCTTCTCAATCTGGAGAGGAACCATGATACTCCTAAAGTTTACAAATACCAGGCCCTCTCAAATTTTGAGTCATGAATATTTCATAAATCTCCCCCCCCTCACCCCACTCTGAATGTCACATCAAACATTCTTGACTTTTTCACGTAATAAAATCTGATGTTACGGACAGTGCTTAGGATCCGCTACTTTTTGGCTTCCTGGATCCGGATAATCAAATATTTATATTTATTAGTAATGGTTACGAATGTGCACTGCAAAAAAAACTATGATTTTCATTTTTTAAACTAAATGCTTTCACTAAGTACTAAGTGACGTGAAACTAACTAGCTAATAATGTTTAGATGAAGAAGGGATGAGCTTGGATGAGTTTGTGACCTATGTTAGGACAACAACTAGAAATGGTTTATTCGACCAGTACCAGGAAACATAATCAACCAGTATTTCATTTAATTGTAAAATTAACTATTTTGTGAACATTTTAGCAAATTTGAATTGATTACTAAACTGTTTCATTGACATTTTTTCAAATTAAATCCTTCCAGAGCAGGGGCTTACTCAGGAACAGGAATTTGTTCAGGGGGAGGAGGGCTTAAATTTTTGTTAATAATATTCATGAAACAGCAAAGGTTAGATGATAACTAATATTCATGAAACAGCAAAGGTTAGATGATAACAAATATTCATGAAACAGCATAGGTTAGATGTTAACTAATATGCATGAAACAGCAACTTAACAAAAATCAATGGAAAGATGATGAATGAATTTAACAAACATCATAGGTTAGAAGAAACAATAAGCAAAAACCAGCGGAAAATGATAAACAATATCCATAAAACATCCAAGGTTAGATGATAAACAAAATTTAGTTAATATCAGAGGTCAGATGGTAAACATTAACAGTATTCAAAATACATTAAAGGCCAAAAAATAGATTTAGATTTTAAACAAAAATTTAAATTCAGTAAAGGTAATCTTATTAAATTTCCATCGGTTTTGAAATTTTGCTATTTTACGCAAGAGTTATTTTTTATAAAGTCGGAGCGGAGCTAATATTACTTCGGTGGATAGTTCAAATGAGCAATAGTTCAAACGGTAGTAGTTCAAACAGGATAGCATGAATTCATTATTTTGTGTGCGCTTACACATACTTAATTTTTTTGCACAAAGTGGTGGGATATATATTTTCTTGAACCTTAATCCCTATCCCTTCCCCCTCTTCCAAAATATTTTCCTCAATATTCAAATATAATATTTTTCCTTTTGTCAAATGATTTTTTTAGGGATAATATAGCTGAGTTGGGGTTAGAACTATTTTTAGCTGGAAGATTACAAAATTTTTAGTATTATGAGGTCGGGAATTAAAAATGCAGTTTAAGCCCAATCGTTATATTTATTTTAAGAATAATACCCCTGAGAACATGTTAGGGTAAAAATTCAAAGAAAAAATAAATCGAAATATGGACTAAATTATTTTTGGTTTTATTTATTAATCTTTAAAAAACTGAATTTTATTTTCTAATTTTAGAATCGGTATACTGATGTTTTGTGCTACGATCATACGAGAGTAATTCTCTCTAGGGATGATAATGACGGAGATACAGACTATATCAACGCTAATTTCGTAGACGGGTAAACTTTACAGTAAACATTACAAATATATTCCAATTGACTTTCCATTCTACCGTACTTCGGGACAAGCCTTTCTTGAACTGCCTTATACGGGAAACTTTATCATAGCATTATTCATCTGTAAGATATAATACTATTTGGAAAGATTGTCTGGCGTTTCTTAGGATAGCTCTTGTTGTTTCTAATTCTCTGGAAAATTGTTGGTATTTAATTTATTAAAGTTTCCCTGGTCTTATTACTTTATATAAATGTTGACCTTGTTTTATAGCATAATTGTTGAATTCTTCTACATTTCTATGGATAAAGACATGTGCAATATGTATTGAATGTTTAGTTACAAACAGAAGAACGCCTTTATATCATGTCAGGGTCCTCTACCTAGAACATATACGGATATGTGGCAGGTAATATTGTAATTGCTAGACAGAGCAGGTTCTCAAGTGCTAACAAAACAATGGGTTGTCAATCTAGACATTATTATTTTACTTCACGGATGACGGGGGGGGGGGGGTAAATATTGATTCATAGAATGAATAAAACCAGGGCATTCAACAGATGTATATCAAATTATATGATTTTAAAATTATAAGCCAAAAAGACATTCGCTAATTGTATTTGTTTCCCAAAGTATATTTTTAATCTTAGACCTGTTGAGCTTGGTATATGGTTCTACGCCCCCGCAGGCGGTCAAGGCTCTTCTTTCATTTTCTTACTCGTATTCTCTGTTAATAAGAAAATGTTTAGATGGTGTGGGAGCAGAGAGTATGTGTTATTGTTATGACAACGCGCACCGTGGAGCGCGGTAGAACTAAATGTGGTCAATACTGGCCTCTAGAACCTTCTACAGTATTAGGTCAGTTTTATCTTGTATCTACGAATCCTGATCCAAAATATCTTCCAAAACATAGATTAAAAAACTTTTTTCCTGAAAACTCTAATTTTAAGGGTTCATTCGTAAAAAGCAAATTAGTGACATTATCATTTATTATTGTTTCGTGTTTAGACTGTGGGCATTATAGAATAAACTGTGATAGTATAGAAAATTATCAAGACTTTATCCTTACAGAGCTCACCCTGACCAACACAAGGTATGTAGATAAAAGATGGTTAAATGTTTTACTTATACATTTTGAAAATATTCTATTGGTTATTTCCATTAAGAAATTAAAAATACTATTTTACCCCCAGGGTACCCAGAGGGGATCTCAAAAAATTTCCGCCAATTTGGTTCAGCCGTTTGGCCAGCTATAGCAAGCATATATACGTACAAATATACAAATTTATAGATAATTAAATTCATATGAGCAAAGAGCTTAATTATATAGTTTTCAAATATTTTTTGAGAGAGAGAGGGAAATAAATATTTTAATGATACATTTTGTAAATTTTATCTGTTAGATAGTTTGATTTAGAAATTTAAAGGTATGAACCCAATTCGTCTATGTGGTGGAACTTCATGTATTTCTTCATGTTCTATGTTCATGTGTATTGTCTAGTCAGGAATTTATATATTTTCTTTTTTATTTACAGAACTGGAGAGAAAAGATCAGTTTCACACTTTGCGTTCAGTAGTTGGCCTGATTACGGTAATGCATAGTCATCTTTCTTTATAAATATAAAGTTATATATAAATTATTCCATCGCCCTCCCCTTTTCAGACTCTATAAGTTAATAAAAAAGATTTGAGCATAGATAAATGATTGCATAGAATTTAGTATATCTTATAAGTTATATGTTTTTTTATGATAAAGTAAACGCAGTTAAATCCAATGACCTCAACCCTCTCCCAAATATATGTAATGAAGTTATGAGAGAAAAAATGTACAAAAAAAAAGATTCAAGATTAGATCACAGATCTGAAGGGTTGACTGATGCGAGATTGATATACAGTGATAACCAGAAACCGGAATTAATTTATGATTAATCAGACGAATTAACAATCGAATCTTACAAATATGATTGATGAATCGATAATAACAAAAAGCCCTAGTCCTGTCAATTCCAAAATGTAGTCTGCTTTTATTGTACGTTTAAAATTACCAGAAATATATATGTCAAGTCGTCTGATTAACTGTGAATTAATTCCGGGTCTTTCTGGTTTGTAAGATTTTCCATTGGTCAGCAGGCCGAATTAAGAAAATACAAATCACGATCGTTGTTTTAAGGATTTTCCTCATTACTTTTTTTAAACCGCATGAAATGAAATTTTTTAAATGATTATTCAGGAACCCCTGAGTCTGCGTTGTCAATGCTTCAGTTCCTACAATGTGTCAGAGAAAGACAGGTAGAATATAAACATGACTAGAAGGAGAAGTAGAGGTGGGCAGAGTAAGAGAGGTAGAATATAAACATGACTAGAAGGAGAAGTAGAGGTGGGCAGAGTAAGAGAGTTAGAAATATAAACAAGACTAGAAGGAGAAGTAGAGGTGGGCAGACTAAGAGAGGTTGAATATAAACAAGACTAGAAGGAGAAGTAGAGGGGGTAGAGTAAGAGAGTTAGAAATATAAACAAGACTAGAAGGAGAAGTAGAGGTGGGCTGAGTAAGAGAGGTCGAATATAAATATGACTAGAAGGAGAAGTAGAGGTGGGCAGAGTAAGAGAGGTTGAATATAAACATGACTAGAAGGAGAAGTAGAGGTGGGCAGAGTAAGAGAGGTTGAATATAAACAAGACTAGAAGGAGAAGTAGAGGGGGGCAGAGTAAGACCGGTAGAAATATAAACAAGACTAGAGGATGAAGAAGGGAGGTTGGGCAGGGGGTGGGAGAAAAAAGTATAAGATTGTAACATAAACCCTTGAACCTTTTAAATCATACATATTATATTCTTCTAGGCTGAGATGACCGCAGAACTGATTGGTTGGACCGGTCATCCGTTAGGACCTCCCATTGTAGTTCATTGTTCTGCAGGTATACCAACCTTGTCCTCCTTGAATGCTTTATCAGAATTAACATAAATGTACAATGTATTATACAAATTATGTCCTCTGTTGTGTAATCCTCTATAATGACGTTCTCATTACTCAAAACTGTATCGGAGTATCCCTACAATTGATGTTTTCATTATTTCAATATTTTTATATTTCAATATTATAACAAGTTATATTAATCAGAATCATTCATTTGGACAGTTTTTATTGATTTACCAATATATGATTAATCACGTTCAGGAATTGGGCGTACTGGAACATTCTGTACTTTGGACATTGCAATAAGAAAGTTTGAGGATACAGAGAAGATTGATATCAAACGGACAGGTATCTTATTAATCGTTTTAAAACTAGTGATTTCACTTGTTATCACAAGATTGGTTAACCTATTAGATAATCTAAATTAAACTGTTTTAGACTTAACTCCCGGGGTAGGNGCCCTTCACCTACCCCGCCTCTATAATATCTAATGTATTATTATTGAAATGATTACACCAGTTCTGCCACCTATATTGAACAATTGATATTAAATTTTTATTATATTTATAATATTTAGTTGATTGTATTCGTGGTATGAGAGCCTTCTCTATACAGATGCCAGACCAATATGTCTTCTGTCATCTAGCCTTCCTAGAGTAAGCTATAAATAAACTTATTAGACACTACTTAATCATTAATTAAACCTCTTCTAACTGTACTGAGAAGGACGCCTTTATAAAGTGAATTCAATTCCATTATAACGAGAATGATCTGTAGAAACCAGATTTATATTGTTTTTTCATTCTTTCTTGAAAAATCATTTATCCCCAAGGAATGTACAAATATTGAATATTTTGAAGAATTATGAAAAATTATTTTCAAATATTTTTTAGGAGCAAGGAGGGGGGAAATAAAATATTGCGCACAACATGTCAATTTTCTTCTCCCTTTTTGATCCTTAAAAACAACTAAGAACAAAAACAATAAAATTTGAAGAGGCATGGTGAGGGGGGGNTAGAGTAGAAAAACAAAGTTGAAGTCACATTTTTCTGTCCTCCAGGCCTTCAATAATATTTTAGTTTGGGAGGGATTATTCTGTAAAATAGATACCCCTGATGTATCGTTAATGGTTTTCTGTGTCTAGGTATGTTCTGAATATGGGATATGTCGAGGAAATAGATTTAACTGGATTTGATGAAGATATTCAGGATTAGACAATCTCTAAACACAAGTTTGACAAATATTTTATCAAACATTTTAAATCTCGACACTTTATTATGTTATTAATTTTTTTTGTTTCAGGAAACAAATACACTTGAAGCTTTAATAAGATTGGTTTTGTACTTCTGTATACTATTGTGTATACTGTTGTTTAGTGATTAATATTCATTTTCCACAATTTATACTTAATTACTTGTCAAATTATAAAATGTATATGAAGTTTATGTACATTAAATGTTATCCATTATCATTCAACCTTTTATTTTAAATTTCCCGTGACTTTTCAGCACACAGTGCTACTAATATGTATTGGATTGAATCCTTCAGTTAAATTCGCGTATATTAGATCTTAGAAGGAGTTTCAGTTTTAAAATTTGATTTTCCAGCCCTAATCTACAGACCTATACTCAGTAGTGACTTTGTTAATTGAACAAATAAGAATTCTTAGATCTACTTGGTTGGAAAATTGTAGACTAATCTACATTAATGAATAAGAACTAGATCTTAAATTGTAAGAACAAAAATCCTCTAGAAATGATATCTTGAAATATCCTTACATGAGAATTTAATATCAGTGATACAGGAGATAACATCAAGTATTATATAACGGGGGAATATTTTTGTATCCTCATGTACTACAGTGATAACAAGAAAACTAGAATATGAAGACGACAATATAGCAAAATAAAAGTGCATTTGATGTTGCTTCAAAGCAAATAGCTTTACTAGTAAGTAATTAAATCACTTCTTTAGTGAAATTATCTGTTTACACTGCACAATTGCTGTTTCATGCTCGTTGGCCTATTGAAGGTTTTTACTTGAATTTAAAAGTCGAATTCATATTCCGGAGAGTTTTCTGGTCATCACGGTAGGACGTAGGTAAATTGTATCCATTGTGCGAAAGTTGAATCCAGGTTCATTTCAGATATCAGTGTGGCTTGGTATCAATAAATATTACATGTATTTAGTCAAACCATAATCTTTTATCAATTAAGCATTGTTTTATAATATTTACATAAAAATTTACATTTGTTTCGTGATTCGAATATGTGTTAGTTAGCCTTTAATAATTTTATATATATTTCAAAATTTAGTTTAGCATAATTGCTTCTTAATATAATGAAAGATTTAATTCATTCTTACATAAATGAAGAAGCTGAATTCACGGGTGTTGAATCCCCTTTACCCCTTTTTTTTTGGAAAGCATGAAGTTAAAATTTGTCCAATAGATGAAGGAGGATTCTATGGAATCATACCCGTGAATATGCTTGAGAAATTAATATTTATTCAATCAAAGAAAATCCAAAAAACGCTTAGAATATATTTGAAAATTGTAATTGTGAAGAATATGTATTGTAATTATGTAGTTCAAATTTGCGCTCATTTTAGTATCAAATATGTTATGCTTCCGATTCAATAACCTTTGTTTATGAGTTCATATCGTAAGATTACTTTCAACAAAATAAAAATGGTATTTTTTCTAATTTTTTTAAATCAAAGGCCAAAGTACGAGATATAGAAACTCAAACTAACAACGCGGTAATTTTTACAAACCAAAAATGTGCAGAAATTTACATGAGCAAGTGTTTAGATAAAACGTGAAAACTGCTAGCTAATTGTCAATTCAAAAGCCTAAAAAATAAAAATATTAAGTTTCAATTCTTGGAAATGTGGACTGCTTTAACTTCTGCATCAGCAACTAATAATTAAATACAAAATGTGGATTTACATTTTGTATTTCCATTTGACTTGCCTTCTTGGCTTTATTTATGTTTTGCTCATTATAAATTTAATTTCAAATTAGGCGGCCTCAATTTAAAAACAGATAACTGTGTTTGTCGTTAAACGGAATCCTTGTCAATACATATATATATATATCTAGTGCATTTACACGGGGGCGGCCATTAATTTCAATCAATCAATAAATTTATATTCAAGCATGGGAGAATACATTCCTATTTTGTGCAAGATGAGATTTTAAGTGATCAACAATTGCAATGAAGAAAATAACTTGTCTCTGCACTCGTCAGATTAAAAACTCTATATATATATATATATAAATATATATATATATATATTGATTGAATGATTGATAGATTACAGCTGATGCCCTCTTCAGTACATCCTGTCTGTGAATTGTTCATCATATACATATCTTTTATTTTAATAAAACCAGTTTAAACCCAATTATTTAGTCGAGAGTCGAGATGTATCTTGTTAAGTTATATTGAGAAAATGAGTTATAATAAGATAGTAGAGGGAGGGGGAGCAGGGCTGCTACAAGCCCCGCGAAATAACATCGGAGCCTCCTGAATGAGAATGAGCTCTAGTCCCTGCGATATAATCTCCGCGCTTCTTGCCACGTTTCCAAGCCTCTGTTATTCGGTCCACTACACGCACCGCATTTTGGTCTCCAATTAGAGATATTTGGATTTTATATCCACTAAAAAATCCTTTTTATTCAAATAATAATCTCAAGAAAATAAGATAGTTCTTAATGATTCATACGCAATTTGTATTGAACATTCTATTTTAATTGACTCTCAAGACTTTAATATTACAGGTGTAACATGTATGAATCAAACTATATGATCACCAATTTACAAAACAAAATAGTTCCTGTCTGTGCTTTTATCGTATACTCTGTATACTTTTGTCACAAGAAAAAAGTTATGATCACTTAAATGAATTAATTGTGGACAAACCGATTCTTTAAACTATTGTGGATTCTACTGTAAACAAGTATATTTTGATTTTTGGTTGGTTAAGCCTTAAAGGTAAATAAAAAATTAACAGCAAGCGGAGATCAAAATGCGGGGAGCTGAGACAGAATCGCAGAGGCTTGAAGACGTAGCGAGAGACACGGATACGGGTTTGCGGGCTCCGGAGATCAACTACTTAAAGAGGTTGGAAGTTAAATTTTAAGTGCAACCCTCCATGCAAAGATGACAATGAGCGTATCGCGTAGTCTTGAAACTTTTGATTAATGAAGATGTTTTCTTTTATTTAGAAGTGTTGAGTATTAGTTTTCTTTCTGCATGCATCAGAACTATATGTGCAATTCACTTTTGGAGAGAAACCACAATGGAAAAAATCAGTTTTCAAAATCACAAGCATTAATATCTAATTCATACTCCGTTATTCAAAGTATTTAAGGGTACTATTGTGATTCGGACATTACCATCTGCATGGAGGGTCACTTGAAATTTCAGTTTTGGGTCTAGCTTGCTGATTCCATCAAATCAGAGAGTCAACGTTGTTCTTATTATATTTTAGTAGTTACTTTCTTCATAATATATTAAACATCCTCTCGCACTATTAACAAACATATCTCTAAAAGTTAAGATACAGGGTGTCCCACGAAACATGACATTTAAAAAATCGTTATTTTTAGTTAAAACATCCTTTTGCTTCATTATCTTTTACTTTGAAATCAATTTTAATATAACATGACTCCCATTTAATATTTTTATTGATCTTTGGTACCAAACAACTTAACAAATTATGGAAAAAGACATTCTAAACTATTCACCAACTGTCATGTTTCGTGGGACACCCTGTAGTTTAGACCGAGAACAACTAGTAACTACATTGCCAGAGGAACTAGGGCCCGGGTTAAAAGCTGAATATATGAAGGATGTAAAATAAAAAATAAAAAAAATGTATTCTATATTTAGGCAATACTAAAGTAACTGTGGTCACTTCAGTGTCTAGGAAAAGATCAGACCTCCAGAAACCTTTATGGAACTTTTTTATATTTTTTTTCTAGAATTTGATAAACTTCCCGGTTTCCTGGATCTATACTATTCATTTTTGGCCTAATGACGAGCCACAACGATATTGATATATTTATTTAAAGTTTCAGGTAGTGATGTGCTATAAGTTATTGGAAAATTGTTAGAATGATTATATTTCTTGGATTAAAGATTGTAATATTGTTTAAATGATTATAATCCTGTATCCTGGTATATGTAAGATTTCTAAACATTTGCCTTTTTAACTACGTCAAATTTAGACCATAGCAGAAGATATATGCGAAAACAAACTACCCAAAAACGATGCAAAAACGAATGTGTTGTAAAGATCGTTTTTAATTTAAATTTTTTTTGAGAAATTGCAAAGTTTAAGAAATCAAACTTTAACAGAGCAGTTTTGAAATCTTTAGAGGTTTTTAAATTTTTTCTAAATAACTATCTAAATAACTATCTAAAACGATTAACAACACTAGTCTCAGGTATTCAATTAAGTCTCATACTTTTTAGGTAACATTATATTATAATCAGCAAAATAGACTTTTCTTGAAATTTAATTTTACGATGTGTCCGATTTTCTTCGTTTAAGGAGAAATTCAGGAACTCGGGGGTAGCAATTTTCCAAAAGAGGAGCCCTAACCCTAGCTCCCCTACAATGACTTCAAAAACCGGCTAAAATCTTCCAGTTTAGTGAATCAACAAATCTTACACCCCAATATACATTTCAAACCAAATGCCACTCAAAAAGTAGGCTCTGTTCAAAAACAGAAAATTATGTTAAGGTTGCCAGTTAATGACAAATATGAGAAAAGTTTTACTTCTTTCGTTTTCATCAAATTTAGAAGTAAGGCTAGCTTTCTCTTGAGTTAATAATGTTAAACTCGATATGAAAAATTACAAATAATAGTTCAAAAATTCTTTAAAAAACGTAATTTATTAAATTTTTACATTCAGTCATTTATACATTATTACTGTTTTCCTAAAACATTGAAGTCAAATTACGCAAGATAACTTGAAATATTTACACTTTTTTGAGACGGGCAGGTCAAACATTATATAACTAGAGACATGGTACATTTTGGGTACATTCATAATGTAAATATTATTATATAAAGTTTGTTGCATTTCAGGCATTTTAGGCTTGTGGTATGAAGGTCGGGGTTACTGTTAAAATTATCAAGAATTCTATAAATTTACAATTACTGTTTTTATTACAGAGAAAAAAATGTGCGTTAAAGAATGTAGATTGTAGAATACAGTTTAACATTGTCAATTTTGATAATAGATAACAAATAAATATTGAACTCGGTGTAAAGTTAAATGATTTAGCACATTCCATTGCCATTTTGTATAATATTTGTACTAAGTAATTAAGCATGTAAAAATCCTCAAAAAAAAAAAAAAAATCAGAACATGCACATTGCACACATTCTTCAATGTAAAGATCAGAGCTTAAAGATCAAACTGTGGAATCCATCCCCAAGCAATGATAGATATCCGTCCCTGTTGTGTTTGCCTCTCTGGTGGAACCTGGAGAATCCCGTGCCTCCAGAGTATATTCACGTCCTTACCGAACGTATAAATAGTTCCATTGGGCTGTGGCATTGAAATCACTGTTTTAGTCCCCGCGTGCTCAAAAGCCGCATCTCTTTCTGCGCCAAAAGAAACAGCAACGGTAAAGTTCTGAGTTTTAGCTTTGTCTGGTTTGATGGCAGCAGCGTCATGATGAAACGGTTTCCACTCCGAATCATCCCTATACCAGTTCAGTCTTGTTGCTTTAACATCCATATTGAAATAGAATTTAATCCTTTCCATCACCATCTGGAAGGTTGGACTAGCGTCCTTCCATCTCCGTTTATCATCTGCTATCAGATGACTATCTCCGTGCCAGGACTGCCATAGTTGCTGTTGAGGCACACCAGACTCTGAAAGTTCAGTCAGAAGATGGTTATAAATAGACATATCAGTCTCGTCTCCGAATAGGTCGGAGACAATAAGCACATCTCTGGAACTTATATCCCTAGTGTACTGCTCCCGTCCCGGAGCTGCACACAATATTCTCATCTCGGGAGCATCATAACAAGGAGAAAAGTTTTCAGTATTCTTCTTTGGTCGAGCCAGCTGTCTTCCGTTCTTTTCCGATTCTCTTCGTTGTTGGTTTTTCGATTCTCTTTTATACTCATGCTGTCTTGATCTCTCAGTATCAATTCTGTTCTCGTTTTGTCTGTTCCTGTAATTATTACAGTCTTCGGAGAACCTCTGACTAGTTCTGTCCTCAGAAAATTTAGAGGTTTTCTCCTCCATATATCGAGGCTCAAGTCTGTCGTCATTATAGCGCGAATCATGCTGGTGGAAATTCTGGGAAGGAAACTGGTGTGTGCTAAGGTTAGAGTTAAACCCATTGGATCCTGAACCTTGTAGTTTTGATCCCAAATCCAACTGACTGGAGTTCAATCCCATTTGTTTTCTCCTCTGTATTCGTTCCCTTAGATCAGTCATATTCCCCCTTCCCTCCGGTTGAGAGGATTGATTTGAGATGAGTGAGCATTGGTCGTCTTGTGCTGATCTTCCACCATCATTCTCAGGCTTATCCACTCTGCGTATCCTGTCCTGAACTCGTGTGGTAAACTCTCTCTTCACACTTGAACCCGGAGGCTTCCTATCATCCTGCTGATGTATTCCTCGGCCCCTACCCCGTCCTCGACCTAAATTCTGATACCATTCCTCATCATTTCTTCGGATCCCATCATCTCTTCTTCTTCCACTCCACTCACCTCGGTTGAAGGTTTGTGAACCAACCCTTGGAGAAATCTGCTCCTCAGTCTCCTTCAAACAGTTGTTGATGTTCATCTCCTTCATTCCCATCTCCATCTCGTTCTCCATCTCATTCTCCACCTCCTCCGCCCAATTCGAACTCTCGACATTGATGTCCTTGAAGTCTGGCCATTGTTTAGAGCTATTTCGAGGCGAGGTTTCCTCCCAATGTTTAGAATCTGAGGATGTATTTAACGGTGATTTACCAGGGGAAGTTGTAGCTATGTCTCCTCTATGCGGTGGAACATATCTCTCAAGAGAACCCTTCCTGTGAGCTGGCATCTTAACCTTTATTTAACTTTTCTTATTTACGGTTTTTTGTCTTTGTTTGAAAAGATTGTTTGTTTAAAACATGCGAATAATTTGACGCAATATCTCTGCGTAAAACGTATATTTGAGGTTTGGTTTGGAGTTGGCGGGGAAACAGGGAGGAACTCATAAAAATATAAGATCAAACAGAAGGGTCGTCTATAATTTAGAAAAAAAATGCTATATTGATTGAACTCATAACCGATTGGACTAAAATTAGCTGTTTTTGTTTATTTGAACATTACTAGATACAGTGTGTCCCAATAAACATAATAATTCAGCGACGAATTCCAATTCTTCTTTGATATGAGTTATCGCTGTATTGAAAATTTCAATAATAAAATAAAGTTATAGTCTGCTAAAATATGTTTTATGTTAACGGTTAATGATTGTATTGTTATTCTGCTAAATGTTATGTATGGTATTATGTAAAATTTCTGCACGATGCGTGAAGAGGAACAACTGTACACTACGTGTTTGCATACGGATATTTCTCATTTTACTAAGTGGAACAGTATTCAATCAAAACATTGCAATCCAAACCAATCTTCTACACAAATTCACACCATCATCGATGATGGTGCTTCATCTGTATCCATCTAAATCAACATTAATCTATGCATTTTGTCTGTATCTTCAACAATTACATATTCAATATCTTTTTTACTTAACAAACACGTACAATTATATCTGTTCTAAGACTGTCAAAGTAGAACTTCTATTTATGAAAAAATCGAGAATTTACCGAAATTGATTCTAATGAAAACATCAATTCACTCCTGCAAAATGATTGAAATTTTGAAACATCGTATTTAAAAAATCTTTGCATTAAATTTCTTACCTAGCAATTCTCTTGAAAAATCATAAATATTTTTAAATTCTAACTTAAAAATGCATTTTTGTGCAGTTGAGGTTTCGTGAATATATTGACACTAAAAAAGTCAGTTGGTATCAAACTTTACAACTGTAAAAAATACAATTTTTTAAGTAAAGAAAAAAACGAAAAATACGTAAAAACTTGTATCAAACTTATATACTCAAAAAAAAAACAATTTTTTGAGTAAAGAAAAAACCCGAAAAATACGTAAAATAAAACCTAAAAACTTTGATGGATTATTCGGTATGAAATTTACGAAAATATACGTATTTTTAGGTTTGCCTCAAACTTTTAAATTTAAACATTGCATCAGTTTTGTGCCACCTTAACCTCTTAATAAAGATAAGTAATATGACTTAGAAAAATTCTTCTTATGAAATAAAATAAAATTACGAATCAACTGCTTTGTTTAAGAAAAGCTTTCCTTGTTAGATTATTCTAGAGGTTGTGAACAATGAACAACTGCTGTCAGGTCACCGGCTTAGTCAAATCATTGTTGGCTTTTTTACATCTGAAAAAAATAATAAATTAATAATCATTGGCTTCGCGCAAGTTTTCATAAATATTTAAATAAAACAATTCATATAATAGATTATTAAATAACTTTTTTTCATTTACTAAATTACAGATTTATTCAAAAGCAAACAATCTAAATTTATGAGCGTAACACGAAGTATTTTGGTTATTTGACCCACAATTAGGGTTAACTTACAAAATCTTGGATTTAGTTATCTACATTCTACAATCTACAATCTGCCTTGTAAATGTTGTTCGTTGTGATTAGATCTCAGGTATTCATAAACTTATTCAATTCAATTATTATTTTTAGTAGACAACTCATTATACCATGCAAGATAGGGGTTGAGAGGAATGAATTGAACTTCAGTATAGAATTCCTTTATGGATACGATTAATTATCCTAATAGTTAACTGTGAAGATTTTGCTCAATATCGTGGCGAAATGAAGAAATCAAGCCTGTAAGGCTGTACTACATCATGAATAGTTCAGGATATAATGATTTATCCTGAACAGGCCCCAACTCAAGAGCAGCCTAAATAAGAAAATTGTTATTTGATCCCGTTTAAATATTCTAATTGCAAAATCTTTTAAGAAATGGCCTGGATCTGGAATCTGGATTCTTTTTTTTCAGGGCGGATCCAGGATCCCGATTTGCATCAAAATTAATTGAATTTTAAGCCCTGTTGAAAATCTTAACAAATATTTTTTTGCCACTTCTCAAATTCTATTCCCTGTTAATCAATTTGCCAATTTTTGACCACCTTTTCTCCCGAAAAGGAGAAAAAATATAAAACCAAGCCCCCGAACTTATGAGTTGGTAAAATTTTGCATAAACCCCTGAAAAAAATACCTTGAGAAGATCAGATTGAGTAACATATGAAGGTATTACAACAAGTTCTCCTTGAAACTTCAATCTAAACATTTAAAAAAAGAAAGGTTATTATGTTGTAATGCTTGGATAGTGTCTCGTTATTTGATCTTGGTAATAACCCATGACAACCTGAATTTTAGATTAAAATCATAATTCAAGCTTGTAACCGCATTAATCTCACTGGAAGGCTATCTATTAGTCTGCACATAAACCGAAAAAAATGCTCTAGTTGCTAAAAGGTCAGCAAGTCATTGAGTTTCCAGTGAATGGTGAAAGTAAATAGGATGTAAAAAGAAAACAAGAAAATTACATTACAATGTGTTTTAAACCGAATTGTTATTTATGTTAAACTAATTGAATATGTTTTGTACATGACACAAAATTATTTTGAAATCTAACAAATGAATAACCTATTTTGCATAAGATCAAATCGCTGATTTCAAATCTATTTAATTAAAATGTGTTCTTATCATTTTTGAAATTATGTGGAAAAAATAATCAAAACAGCCAAGAGCTATTTTAACCTAGTTGCTACATCTACTGTTAAAATAGTTATCAATTTGTAATTGTAAACTCGTTCTGTAAACACACAGAAACATTTATTTTATCAATAAACTATCTCAGCTCAGCTCAGCTTATCTTTTCTAACCAATCTAACCACAAACTCTATCAGCTCTCCTCGACTTACCCTGAGTTTCTGATGAGGTTCCTGAACGTAAGGTTGGCCAGACCATCCTGAAGCTTGGCGTTGTAAACCAACAACGGTACTGGCAGGCCCCTAAACACATTATTCATTCCTTTCATTGGATTTATTCCCTGTTGGTAAAATATCAAGCAGTATTCAAAACCTTCCTGATCTCTTAATTGGCATATCAAGTTCAGCATATAAATATGCGGGAAATAGGAGCAAAAACAAATTATTTTACAAAATGAGTAAAATAAGTAAAACTTCATAAATTGGACCCCATTCCGAGTCTTGTTTTTATGAAAAATGAAAAAAAAACCTGTTTTTATTCTTAGAGGTAGCGGGGTGATGAAACCACAAATTTACAAAAATACAGGAGAACTAAAAATTTCATTTTACCTTGCCATGTGAAAATGAGGCAATGGTTCTAAAGGTACAAGGTTCTGAATTAGAGAATTCGAGTTGGCCGCTAAAGCAATCTAAAACATTTTCATTTCGTATTATCTTGTACCAGATTAGTGACAAAAGATTATTTTCGCAATTTATCATACCTCAATTTGAAACTCATACTATGCCGTGCCTGGCATTTAAACGTTTTTGATTATAGTCAATTATTATTAAGGAAAAACTCCCAAAATTGCATATGTTCGAATTGTTCTGAAGTTGGTAAAAATAATTTCCAGAAAAAAACTCAATCGTGTGGCGTACACAGGAATCTGTTCAGGGGGGAGGGGGCTCATTCCCACTGGGTCCAAAAAGCCCCTGGAAACCAAATATTTCACTAATCCATGGAGGCTGACACCCCCCCCCCC